CCTGGTTTAGACCTGATGTAGTCCTCTTTTATTCTTACTTTCGTCCGGGTTCAGTCTTACTTTAGACCCGATTCAGTCTTACTTTAGTCCCGGTTCAGACCTGATGCTGTCCTGGTGTAGTCCTGGTTTAGTCCTGGTTTAGACCTGATGCTGTCCTGGTGTAGTCCTGGTGTAGTCCTGGGGTAGTCCTGGGGTAGTCCTGGGGTAGTCCTGGGGTAGTCCTGGGGTAGTCTGGGTTTAGTCCTGGTTTAGACCTGATGTAGTCCTCTTTTATTCTTACTTTAGTCCGGGTTCAGACCTGATGCTGTCCTGGGTAGTCCTGATTTAGTCCTGGTTCAGTCCTGGTTCAGTCCTGGTTCAGTCCTGGTTCAGTCCTGGTTCAGTCCTGATGTAAAACCTTGGGAAAACTGGGACAAATCAGTGGTTTTGTATAAATCTTCTGGGACGGGGGACACAGGACTCAAAACTGAGATTGATATCGCCAATTATAACAATTCCAATTTCAATAACGCACAATTGAAATTTCAAAACAAAGCCATGTTTTCAACAAAATCCGCATGACATCAGGAGCAGGGTGACAGCATTTTAAAAATAAAAAAACTGAGACATCCCCAGTTTGTGTTGGTTGGTAATAATAAAATTGTGAATCGCGTGAGTAATTAAGAAAAACTGTTCTGCAGTCGGCACTAATGTGAGTCAATATAGTCACATTTTCATTGTGTTTTGGTCGGTTTTTTAGCAGCTTTTCTGTATTTTACCGAAACAAATGAGAATTTATGTCTCTCTTTACTGTTGGCACGGATCAGATTGGTAAAAATAGGGACATTTCTTGTATAAAACTGGGACAAATCAGTGGTTTTGTATAAATGTGCTGGGACAGAAGGACACAGGCTCAAAACTGGGACTGTCTGTTAAAAAGCAATCACATGAAAACACAGCCAGATATTTCCAATTATAACAATTCAAATTTCAATGACGCATGACTGAAATTTCACAACAAAGCCATGTTTTCAAATAAATCTGCATGACATCAAGAGCAGGGTGACAGGACTTTAAAAATAAAATAAAGGGACATCCCCAGTTTGTGGTGGTTGGTTTGCGTAATTAAGAAATCACTCAGTGCTAATGTGAGTCAGTACAGTCACATTTTCATTCTGTTTTAGTCGTTTTTAGCAGATTTTCTGTATTTTACATAAAGAAATGACAATTTATGTCTCTCTTTACTGTTTCGCAGGGATCAGATTGGTCAAAGATAATGATGGTCCTGTTTTAGTCCTGGTTTAGACCTGATGTAGTCCTGCTTTAGTCTTAGTTTAGTCCTGGTTTAGATCAAACTGGTTAACACTTGGGACATTTCTTACTCACTGTATGACTGAAATTTGTAAACAAAGCAATGTTTTCAACAAAATTCGCATGACAGGAGCAAGGCGACCAGTTTGTGTTGGTTGGTGATAATAAAATTGTGAATCGCGTGTCTAATTAATGAAAACTGTTCTGCAGTCGGCACTAATGTGAGTCAATATAGTCACATTTTCTTAATGTTTTGGTCATTTTTAAGCAGCTTTTCTGTATTTTACCGAAACAAATGACAATTTATGTCTCTCTTTACTGTTGGCAGGAATCAAATTGGTCAAAGACCATGTTAGTCCTGTTTTAGTCCTGGTTTAGACCTGATGTAGTCCTGCTTTAGTCTTAGTTTAGTCCTGCTTTAGTCTTAGTTTAGTCCTGCTTTAGTCTTAGTTTAGTCCTGCTTTAGTCTTAGTTTAGATCTGATGTAGTCCTGCTTTAGTCTTAGTTTAGGTCTGATGTAGTCCTGCTTTAGTCTTAGTTTAGTCCTGCTTTAGTCTTAGTTTACATCTGATGTAGTCCTGCTTTAGTCTTAGTTTAGTCCTGCTTTAGTCTTAGTTTAGTCCTGCTTTAGTCTTAGTTTAGTCCTGCTTTAGTCTTAGTTTAGATCTGATGTAGTCCTGCTTTAGTCTTAGTTTAGATCTGATGTAGTCCTGCTTTAGTCTTAGTTTACATCTGATGTAGTCCTGCTTTAGTCTTAGTTTAGTCCTGCTTTAGTCTTAGTTTAGTCCTGCTTTAGTCTTAGTTTAGTCCTGCTTTAGTCTTAGTTTAGTCCTGCTTTAGTCTTAGTTTAGTCCTGCTTTAGTCTTAGTTTAGTCCTTGTTTGTATCAGGTCCAAAATAGAGACACCTGGGACATTTCTTGTATAAAACTGGGACAACTCATTGGTTTTGTATGAATCTGCTGGGACAGGGGACACAAAAAACTCAAAACTGGGACTGTCCCGGGTCAACACCTTAAAACTAGCACCGGAAAAGTTACACATTGCATCTTTAAAACGCCATCACATGAAAACACAGCCAGATATCGGCCAATTCTCACAAAATGCAAATAAATCAAGCTACTCTTCCGATGTTCGCACGTGTGAAACTTCAAAACAAAGCCATGTTTTCAGCCGAATCCGCATGACAGCAGGAGACTTCGCCCTGACACGGCGAACAACAATAGCTCCCCGTTAGAATCTGTCACATGCGTGGGTTTATCTCGCCCCAAAGCCACAAAAAAAAAAGGGAGTTTGATCTGGAGCTAGTTCTGGTTAGCTCTCTCCGCTAACGAGCCGCATGCAAAAAAAACCAAAACAAAACACATTATTCACTGTCAGTGTTGGGGAGTAACAGATTACATGTACCAGAGTTATGTAATCAGAGTACAAATTATGAGTAACTGTATTCAGTTACAGTTTCAGTGAGTGGTAATTGGATTACAGTTACTTTGTTGAAATAAATGGATTACACAGAGGGATTTTACTGTTTTCATATTTTGGGCTAAACCAGGACTAAACCAGGTCTAAACCAGGACTAAACCAGGACTAAACCAGGACTAAACCAGGTCTAAACCAGGACTAAAACCAGGACTAAACCAGGACTAAACCAGGACTAAACCAGGAATAAACCAGGACTAAACCAGGAATAAACCAGGAATAAACCAGGTCTAAACCAGGACTAAACCAGGAATAAACCAGGACTAAACCAGGAATAAACCAGGTCTAAACCAGTTTTAAACCAGGTCTAAACCAGGACTAAACCAGGACTAAACCAAGACTAAAACAGGTCTAAACCAGGACTAAACCAGGACTAAACCAGGACTAAACCAAGACTAAACCAAGACTAAAACAGGTCTAAACCAGGACTAAACCAGGACTAAACCAGGACTAAACCAGGACTAAACCAAGACTAAACCAGGTCTAAACCAAGACTAAACCAGGACTAAACCAGGTCTAAACAAGGTCTAAACCAGGATTAACCCAGGACTAAACCAGGACTAAACCAGTTTTAAGACAGGTCTAAACCAAGACTAAATCAGGTCTAAACCAGGGCTAAACCAGGACTAAACCAGTTTTAAACCAGGTCTAAACCAGGACTAAACCAAGACTAAACCAGGTCTAAACCAAGACTAAACCAGGTCTAAACCAAGACTAAACCAGGTCTAAACCAAGACTAAACCAGGTCTAAACCAGGTCTAAACCAAGACTAAAACCAGGTCTAAACCAGGTCTAAACAAGGTCTAAACCAGGTCTAAACCAGGATTAACCCAGGACTAAACCAGGACTAAACCAGTTTTAAGACAGGTCTAAACCAAGACTAAATCAGGTCTAAACCAGGACTAAACCAGGTCTAAACCAGGTCTAAACAAGGTCTAAACCAGGATTAACCCAGGACTAAACCAGGACTAAACCAGTTTTAAGACAGGTCTAAACCAAGACTAAATCAGGTCTAAACCAGGACTAAACAAGGTCTAAACAAGGTCTAAACCAGGTCTAAACCAGGTCTAAAACAAACTCACTTTAAATAATTTAATGGATTACGTTACAAGATACATTTTGTCGTATGTAATCTGTAATCTGTAGGGGAATACATTTTAAAAGTCACCTTCCCAACACTGCTCACTGTTGACAAGTGAGCCACGAACGCTAACCCGAGCCGACCCGAGCCAACCCGAGCCGACCCGTTACAATACAGCAAAAAAAAAAAAAAAAAAAAAAAAAAAAACAAAGCAAAAAAGCAAAACCAGCCCAGCTACAGCAACATTTATCCCCAATTTCACGAGACTGTAATTCATTCTGACGAGGCTAGTTAGCATGTTGCAACAGTTTGGTTAGCTGTTGAGCCCAAATCCACGCACAAATCTCACGCATATTTCCACTTGGCCTCATTTTACCGCAATTGCACGGCCGTTTAAACATTGTCACGGTGTAATTGCGCAAAAAAAAAGCCGATAAAACGTGCAGCACTGCCTGGATATGCTCGTGTGTGTGCATTGTAGTGTTATGACTGCGGGGAAATGACGCTAACCCCCCCAGTGCCAATACGGGATCGTTCGCCCTGTCAACAACAAAGCTATTTCCGTCATTCCTGGTTGAATTAAAAGCTCGTAAATGTGTTTTTGAAGCGTTGCGTGGCGCGTTTGACAGCTGTCTTCCCTAAAAACGGCGAACGGGGCCAGTTAAAAGGCTGAATTTGCAGTGCCGGTGTTGCGCCCGAGAACGCACCCCCTACACAACAGGGCATATTTACGACCAAAACTGTCAAATTATGAACATCTTAAGCGATTTTGTGATTGTTTTTGATTCGATGTGAGATTTAAATAAGTACGTGATAACAAAATGAGGTAAGAGTTGTGATTTGGAGTGATTTAATAGCGATGGGGAGGATGCTGTGTTGTTTTTCTACGCGTTACGAGGCAAATAAAAGGTGCTGTCGAAATTAAACGTGCTAAAATTGCGTTGTGAAGTTATAAAAATAGGTTACGTCGTTGACAGTGAAGCAAAAAATGTTAAGAAGTGAGGTGAAAGCGTGGGTTTAGACGTGGATGTGTGGGTAAAATGAGCGCGAGTGGACCATGCAGTCGGGGTGCAGGTTCGAGCGGTGCACCGGTAGACTACGGCTAACGCTATCGGCGCGTGAAGCTGCAGCGCGCGCTCCAACGTGACCCACCTCTCTTCACGGCCTCGTCAAACGTCAGGAACCCTATCCTCGACTCTTTGGCCCCCATGCTCTCGCCTCACTTCATCTTCGCCTGGCCCCGGGAAAGCGATTGGGCGGGCGGGCGGAGAGGAGTCGGTGTTGTCGGTGTTGTTGTGCGTGTGTCGGTATTTGGCGCTCGCCTCGTCGGTCTGGACGCGGAGGGTGGACGCTGTCAGTGACGCCGCGCCGTCACCGCGTCACGTGATCCGCAGGTCATTTGATCGGCGCCCCGGACCCGGTGTAAACACGGACGAGTGGAACGACATGGTTTTTGCTTTTTGTGAATAAGAAAACTTGATAGAAAACAGATTCAATTCAGTTCAGTTCAGTCTTTATTAAGAACACGTAATGTTTGGTTCATAGTATTAAAAATAAAATACTAAGAACATACAATTCAGTGCAAAATATGTACTTTTTGGTATATGTGTTGAACTTAATCCTATTCAAGTGGAATTTTATTAATTTTTTTTTACCATTTTATTCATAAACTTCGATAGCACATTACGGAGTATGTATACCAAACATCATATTTATGCAATTTTTTCCCAAAATAACCCCAAGAACAAATAAAATAAAATAAAATAAAGATAAAATAAAATAGATTAATAATAATAGCAATAGTAATAGTAATAAAAAATTAAAATAAAATAAAATAGATTAATAGTGTTTCTGTTTTTGTGAATAGAAATTTGATACAAACATATCAAACATATAATTTAGTTCAGTTCAGTCTTTATTAAGAACACGTAATGTTTGATTCATAGTATTAAAAATAAAATACTAAGAACATACAATTCAGTGCAAAATATGTACTTTTTGGTATATGTGTTGAACTTAATTCTAATCCTATCAAAATTTCATATCCATTGCTGTAAATTTTTTTGTCAGAAACCCCAAAATTTGTTGTATTTCAGTCCCTCTTGTCCTCTTATATAAATTCTCTAAAACAGATATGTCAAACTCAGGCCCGGGGGCCAAATTTGGCCCGTGATATATTTACATTTGGCCCGCGAGATCATCTCAAATCTGTATTAGAGCTGCTCACCGGCTACAGATCGACTATAGAGACATTATTTATTTCAAATGTTGTTAATATTTTATTTTCTGCTTGTTCTGGATTCAATGTTTAAGCAAAACTATTATTAAACATTTATTTGAAAAAGATGTTGTTGAAATATTTCAATAAATTTTTTGTTTGGCCCACGACTTCCTCACAGTTTTTAACTTTAGCCTCTGTGAATTTGAGTTTGACTCTCCTGCACTAAATTACTGCACAAATCTCAAAGTCCTGAAAACAAAAGCACTTTGTGTAGAATTTGAAATATAAAATGTGAATGTATTTATTGTTTTTCTACATTTGTGCTGAGCCCTGTAAATTTGAATTCTTAAGCTTCTAGCAATATTATTGTTTATACAGTAATATTACACTGTTTATTTGTGGGGGGGGTAAACAATCCTAATCCTATAAAAATGTTGCATCCACTGCTGTTGATTCTCTAGTCAGAAACCCAAATTTGTTTTATTTGTTGTATTTGTCATATTAATAAAAAAAATACATGAAATTACATTAAATTAAATGTATAATATTTTTAAAGGAAAAAGGAAAGGAGAGAAGGGAGGGAAGAAAAAGAAAATGTCTTCAAAATTATTTAAGATTGTAAAAAGTAAAAGATGATGAAAGGAAATAATGATGGTGAAAATAATTTTAGTTAAGTAAAGTGACTAAAAGTGTTTATTAAAAAATGGGGTGGAAAAAAAAAGAGTGAAAGGAAAATTAAATTATAAATTGACTGAAATATAAATATCAGTGGGTCTAGCAGGTTGGTTATGCTGCACTACCACATTACTTTTGTTTTATTTCATTAAATTTGTGTGTTTGGAGGGTTTGGGATGGAGAGTTTTGTTGGTTTATGTTTTTGTGTTTCGTTTTTATGTTTATTATTGTATTTTGTTAAATATTTTATTCTATTGTCTTTATTTTATTTGTATTTTTTTAAGTGCTCATATCAGACATTCTTGTTCTAAAACATTTATTTGTTGAGCCGGCTCGGTCACCACAAGGTAAACAAATAAACGTACAAGGTGAAAGAAAAGATCTGAGGCACTCTGACACACTCACGTATTTATTTAAAGCTACAGTGTGTTACCTTTGAGCCAAAAAAAACAAAAAACAAAAAGAAAAAAAGAGAGAGATTACAATAAAAGCATATTATTTTGTCATACAAGTTGCAGAGTGGAAAATTACACATAAACGGCTCCTTGTGTCGTATTTTCTACTGGAAAACTGGAATAATTTTGCTGAACAAGTCGCTGAGATGAAAATAAACTTTGATATCAGGGTGGACACGGGTAAATGAAGAACATTTTATAACTATGACGCATTGGCAAGTTTAATTTACTCCCATTTAATTAAACAAAAAGCAGTTATTTGTTTTATTTTTTCCCTGACAGATCTGTACGCTACTGTCTGACATGAATGTACTTGTTTAGGCTGTATGCATGTGCAGTTGTCAAGAGAAAGTGTGTTTTTGGCATGTTTTATTTTACTACAAGCACAAAAACTCTTGACAAAACACACTTGCCTCTTCATTTTCTCCTTTGCACATGAAAGCAGCATTATTTGGTCTCCTTCTGTTTTACAATATTATAACAAAAGGTTATGCTATTTAGTTTTATTTTTATTTTTTAAATGAAAACAAAACTATTAAAATGTGATCATGTATCAGACATAAACTCCATCACTCCACCTGCACAGAAGGTCACACAAAAACAACAATTTAAACAAAAATGTACCAGGACATGGTGCAGGAGTGTCAAACTCATTTTGTTCCGGGGGTCGTATCCAACCGACTTTGATCCCAAAGTGTCCGGATCAGAAAACTCATGTCATATAAACCCCAAAAATAACAATAAGTTCAAATATTTGTGCAGAGATACACAAATCTATTACAGAAATCTTTTTTAAATGATGAACTCTTTCTTTTACAAAATATTATAATATTATGAACAACCTGAAACTTTAAGAAAAATAAAATTTCAACACAAAGTTTTAACATGAACTTGTATAAATAGGAATAAGTATTGTTTTGTTGTAAAATCCTGCACTCGGCTCCACTTTTCTCATGTTGGACATTTTTCTGATGAGGGTGTCACGGTCAACAGTCAAAACGATCGTCCTTTAAGAGCG